TTTAACTGAAATGTAGGCTTCATGCCTGCAGAAGTTATCACAATACAATACAATACAATAAGCAAGATTTTGAGACGGCTATTCAAATTGAAGACAAATATTTTGCCAACTGTGTGAAAACTGTTGTAGCACATTATTTGTTTGTTTAAATCCGGCATAAAAATTCGCAGTGTGATTTTACTCAAAAAGGCGTTTTCTTACAATTTACCAAAAGAGCACTACTATCACTGTGGACCGATTAGCCAACCATATCGTTAACATTTGCCAACGAAACAGAAATTTAATTTTTCGGCTGAGGTGACCGTATTCGATAAGCTGTATTCTTTCTATTGTGCGATAATTTGTGCGACTTGATTTCTTCGCACACTAGCACAAACGATCATCAGATTCATACTAAGATGGTTGAGCAACTTTTCTCACTGGACTGTTTTGCCAAGCTATCACAGTTCGATCACCCATTCTGAAGTGAAATGATCGTTGATCTTGATGCGTATGTGTGATCCAATAAGAACCGGCCACGATGGCCACATTCCATAAACGGCCATATTGTTCGTCTAACTGATTTTTCAATTGTTTTGATACTTCCTCGCCATCGATAGGCTTATCGTGCGATTCGTGCTGGAGCAGATCACGAGCCATCTGGAAAATATTTGCCTTCATTGGCTCAGGCATCTGAGCGAAGACCACGTGTATATTAGGGGGTAATTGATCTTTAACTGCAGATGCTGCTGAAACCATAGCAGCTGATGGTTCCGGGGCGATCTCATCTGGCGGTGGTTTATCGGCAACCGGAGCCGATGCGGCAACGGGTGCTACGGACCGTAGCTGAATGGCATTTTGCTCCCACTCTTTGATGCGTCTACAATAAGACGTAAATAAATGGTATGTCTATCAATGAATAAATTAAAACACATTGATTGCGACTGGTAAAAGCTTTGTATAGATAGTCAGTAATTCAGTCCATTCTGTGATGTCTCATTCAAATACTTGAAAATAAACTTCTTGTAAGATTTTTGATGTTCTCAATGTATCCATGACGGCAAGTACCGCCCGAACTAAATGACAATTCTTATCAACAGAATCATCGAAAAAGCGACAGACTGATAGAGCAGAGGACCGTATAATTTGGAATTCACAAAACCGATAGAATGCACATTGTTTAGGTACAGTGATGACATAACCAGATAATAACCGCACTTGAAAGGATATCTGTCTTCCGAAAACACCGACATAATTCAATTTGCAACTGGTTGACTTGACTCTTCATAGATGCAGTAGAAATACCCTCCTGAGACTTGCTCCTCTCTAGGACGATACAATCCGCAAATTCCTTTAGTTGAGACATTTCATTGGTGTTGTAAGTTTGAACTCAAATTCACCTGTGAGCGTTTGGCAGTTTGATAAACATGCAAGACAGTAAACTAATGAATGCGATTTGATCCTACTTGAAGGGGATAAAAATCACGACCCAAAAAGATCGAAAGCACTGCACACATGAGTTTCATCTAACTGCATCTTCGTTGCTCAGTCTAAGTATTAAAATGTTCCTCATGAACTATACTTCGGGTAGACAAAGCACTCGCAACTGGACTTCATTTCAAATGTCGTCCTCTTCTATGGATTAAAGAAGTGAATATTTTAGGGATGGATTTTCCTGCAACTTTGACATCTGATGCAGCTGAAGTGGAAATCCCTTCAGTTTATGTTGAGATTGACATATGAAAATCCCAGTTTCAGCTGCAAAGTCTACGCAACATTGTAATTTACACCTGATTTACTGAAATAATGCAGCAGTTTACACTCGTTCAAGATCATTTTAAAAGTTTGAACAAATCCAATCCGATTTTATTCACTATACAAACAATTAGAGCTTTTACTCTACAAAACACTCTGCTCTACAGACACCAACACATGCATTATGAATATTGAGCATGCTGAAAAGAGGAACAACCGTTTCAGCCATTTAACACGGATTTTGCCGATTGATCTACTGTCCCAATGAAGTCATTGGATACACTCTTGCCCCACGATTTACCATCTTTCAAAATGTCAAACATTTTGAACGGATATGCAAAGATTAAATTGGAGTAGTTATTCTCCGTTTGGAAACAACGATTGTTTTTTTATTTCAAGTGATATACGTGAAAATGTTAATCTTAGCTCTGAATGTTCCACTTTCACCACCATCATATGGGCTGTTAAAAATTACATTTGTCAGAAGAATTTAGCGACTGATCGCCTACCGACCTGAAGATCAATAAAATGAAAACTTGAGAAATTTCAAACGGTTGACGCTTGATGGAGTTAACAGATGATGATACTTCGCGTTTCAGACCGAAGCAGTTTATATGATTTATAAAAGTTATTACGAGGACGTATTTAAGTTCAGCTACATCCTGGTTGCAGCAGTGCGCTGTATAACGATTATTTTAGGGCCGACAGACGTTTATTTTTCCGGCCTCAATTGAATTTGGAGATTCATTGTTTCATCCTTACTATGAACTGCTTGAGCCTACGATCTCCTTCAGAAAAGATCATTTATAAATAAGCATATCATCTTTATTTTTTTATTTTACCGTCTCCAACCTGTTATTTGAGCTTGATATTTCGTAACTCGTGAACAACTTATCTCAGTTTATATTCAAACTAAGTTTGTTTCAAACACGTGAATTTCGATACCGTGGATCAGTAAACCTCAGCTGTTTAGACCCGAATATACGGTCTTCATATGAACCGCAGATTAAACTCAGATTGGCAAATTAAAGAAACGGTCTAATCAACTGCGTTCTACCGATGATGAGGTCCTGGATTCTATCCTCAGTTGGGTAGATGGAGTCGGGCACTATTGATGTGAGTCAACTAGTTAGAACAACCTTTCCGGTTCTTCCCAGGTTTTATTTCACTCAGCGAGCTTTGCAACATAACCTCAGATAACTGAAAGTCACATATGTGCATCCGACGTACCAATCATTCATGTTCATGTTTTAACTGGGTGTTAAATGATAGTTCATGACATGGGAAAATCAAAATGCACACATGCACAAATACATCTGCACGAAAAATGCCAATATTTTAGCAATCAGGCAGGTTTTCAGCAGTATGAACGGGCCACGGAAAGCAACTTTTCTCCTCTCCTCTATTTCACTGCTACTTCCGATACATGTATCATCCACTCGAAAAATTCCTATGCTTTCGAAACACGAATGAAATCACAGGAATAGATTAGCTTGAGTACTTTGCATAACATTCATGTTAGTGAACAGCAAATGGGCACTCAAATGTTTTTCGCAACTGACCGCAATGTTTGTTAGTCATGTTATCTTGTCCCCAACTGCATTCCAATAGACAATAATAAAGCAAAGCTCTCCGGAAACTGAATGTAACGCCAAATTTCGAGGAGAAATCAATTTAAAATTAAAGATTTCAGAACCAACTCTTTGTACCCGTTTGAGTACCGAAGACCCTACTTAATATGCTTGCCCGTCAATATCCGGATTGTTAATTGGCAACAGTATATTTTATCACCTTAGTTCTTTGTTTTTCAACATGGAATTCAAAAATCATGTGACCTCTACTCTAGCTCTTCCAATAAAACTCAACCGTTCATACAAAACGAATCCCTTCTACTTTTACATTGTCTATTTTGCATACAAATTAACCTAATCAGTATCTAGTTAGACAATGTTGCGTAGAACGCGACCTTCATTCTCTTCGTTCACCTGAATAGACAGACAGATAAGCATAGAGACACACACTCACCACGCCCGGAGGGTGCTATGGTAACGAGTAGAACAGATCAATTTTCAGTGATATGCCAACATTGATCAGCACGCTTGCCGAGATCGAAAGGAGATACACAATGTGACGCGTAGCAGACCTGGTTGCCTGAATGACAAAACCGCCTGATGCAGTTTTGTCTTATTCTTTACGATAAATCAATTTGTACACATTAGTAAGGTAAACAAGTAATTTTCGAGGAAAGAGGCGATATATAAACCGATAATAACTAAGAAACAAGATTTTACATTTGTATTACTTTTAAGTTGAGTTATTGGTTGTAAGTTTAATGGTTGCCATTTCTTTGTTCTAGCAAATTCCTTTTCTCCGTGGATTAACAGTTTTCGTGTATTTAAAACGATAAACACATGGTTTGTTTGTATTTGTCTTGCTCCATATCCCATTGACAGATGATTTCCACATGGGTGAAAGGGGACCGATGAAATGACATTAAGGCTAAGCAGTTTACAAATATACTGCTCACTTATTAACCCGTTGTTTATCATTTAGAATGTTTAAATTCAAATAGATTTATTGCATAAAAAACAATGTTTGACGGAGACATTAAATTGTAACCGCAAAATGCTTGTGATACTGCATTCACACACTAACAACTAATCAATGAACGATTTTCCAGCCGAAACATACGTAATGCTGGGATACCTGTATATTGGCAATTAATGAATATCTTAAAGTTCTGAACAGATGTCCGCAGTTTCTTTGAACAAAAGCCCAATACCAATTGAACGGTGAATTTTCGTGTCACGTGGCATTTCAATTAATTAGGACAGTTAACATGTGCAAGCTTATTCATAGTTGCATACAGAGTTATCTCTACGTAATACTCAAATCAAGGTGCAGAATATCCTCTGAATACGGGTTTTATGGACACCCGTGATGATAGCTCAGTTATGAGACTGCATTTAACGGGTTGCAATGCTGACAATTACTAGCCTTCCGTGTGGGGATTCGGTTTCCATCTTCCGGCCTGATGGGCATTACTACTAATGAACTCCGACGAGACCGAAACCGAAGCCTGAGGGTTCTCAAATGTACGCTCTGTCGGTTGAATGGAGAATGGTATGTAACTGTGAAGTCTTAAAAATCATCGATTTAAATCAATATTATGATTATTTTATTCGCTGTTTGTATCTGCATGCATAGAAAACAACCGAATAACTGATGTTTTCTCTGAATAAATGCCGAATAAATATATATTGGGTAATAAACACCATGGGGATTGGCAGACAACGAATAATTCGTGAATATCTTTGATGATATCTCACCAAACGTGTGTTGATTCACCCAGCTGGTTGTGCAACGCCGGAGAAACCTTCATCAAATTGGAACTCCAGTGTTTTTTGCTAACTCATTTAAATGAAACAGTTGAAAAAAAATGTCCAAAACAGGGCAGTTTGCATCAGGTATTCCATAGAGTTAGTTCAACAGCATTTTCTGGTTTAGCAGATGCTTTCTACGTGAATCCAAATGGCCAAACTGTCTTCAGTTTGCACCGATCACCATGGTTCTTATAAGGTTTCAGTTTCATGTTTCAGTTCCTGAAAACGAATTTGACGTCTAAGTAGGTAATCGGTAAATAAATATTGAGTTATTATTTGTACTTTTACGATCGTTCCCCTGAAGGAAACTTGGAAGTCCTTTACTTTAACCGGGTAGGAATATCGACCACAATTCATGAGTTCGCACCCCGGTGAAGTTGTCTAGAGCAGGACTCAAAATACAGCCTAGGAATTCATCCATGCGTTGAATAAACGTGCATCAATCACATGATACTTGGTGCGCTCTTGTGAACTGTATATCTTTAACAGTCACTTTGTAGTACAAAATCTCGAACAATAACTGCAAAGTGACTGAGGTCATCTCACTAACTACCTGAAAAGTCTTGATTACAAACCCATCACCATAGCCCTCATTCGCCCCATAATTCTCTATTTTCCGGGAGAGCTTTTGGTTGGCCACAATCTGCTTTTTGAAACTAGATGTTCCCTTTTTTTGCATTTGACTCACAGTCACTTGTGAGTGGTGTGTGTGTGCTAATTGATAGTGATTGGTTTGACTGACCTTTCGTAAGTGAAAAAGAATTAGGAGCGCTAAAACAAACTGATATCAAACCCAATTTCCTAGTTTACTTAAAAATGTGTCAAGTTGGTAAGGGTTAGTTCAAAACACACTTGTTTGTGCCGTGGTGTGTCTGAGAGAGTAAAGTT